CTCGCTCCCCCAGTACTTTGAGGCAATTCGGGGGCCCCTTTGGGGGAAGAGGCGCTATCGACCGTCCTCAGAATTCCTCGGGGGGGCCCAAAGCAGCCGCGCCCCGGCCTGGAGGCCTCCGCCGGCGCTGGGGTTGCAGCTCTCATAGTCCCCGGCCACCACGGCGCTTGACAGGAGCTCCCTCGTGCCTCTGGCGAGGAACAATCATCCCATCAACGCCCCCCCCCCGCTTTTAAAGAAACTTTTCCCTCTTACCGCCCCCCCCTGCGCCCCCCCCAATTTCTGGGGCACCGGAAAGGGCTCCCTCACCCAGCGACGCCATGGCGACTGGGACACCATAGAGTCCCTCAGAGCAACGCGAATTTCCGCTCCTTAGCGGAAAGCAGCCGTCAGCCGCAGGGAGGGTATTGCTCTAGCATGTCGCTCTATGGTTCAAGCCTCCCCGCCCAGGAGGGGCGTCGCGGCCTTCGCGCCCCAAGAGGGTCAGTCACGCACGTATTCAAAAACTTCCGGTCTTCCTTCGGAGCGCCAGGGTGGGGCCACAGCTGGCAAACCACGGGGCAGATTAGGCGGGTCCTTCGGCCTCTTCACGGAGAGAGAAGGTGAAGCGTCCCAATGCACGTTGGTCCTTTCGATCTCAAGTGATTCGGTTCATTCCAACTTGCTTTGTCAAAATAAAAAGGGGTTGAAGCATAGCGAGATCGACCCCCAGATCGAAGCGCTACTCGAGGACCAGGTTTCCTGGGGCAAACCAGAATTATTGCTCTTTTTTCAATCTTTTTACTATTGATAGGAACCTCCTCCTGGCCCGCTTATGGAGGCACTCTGAACGGTACCGGAGTGATGCTGTATCACGCTTTCCTTTTCGCTTCTCTACACCCTTCAGGGCCTCCTCCTTCCGGCCTGACCCGGAAGCGAGGCCTTTGGCCTCACCACGGAAGTAGTTCTTAGTCCCTTCCGCTCGTGCTGCCGGCGCTCGTTCCTGCAGCCATGGTAAGTCTGCGTCTCTTCGACGCCTTAACGCGGTTAAGTAACTAGTTAACTAGATTAAGTACAGTACTTAGTCAAGTAACTAGTTCAGACGTACGTAGGTTCCCATTGGGATGGAAGGTTGGTCCGCAGCTTTTTTTGGGCTCAAAACGTTGTTAAAAGTAACGCACAGTAAAACGGGGTAGAAAAAGATCTCAGGCGTCTGCGGGCAAGTCAGTCCCGTTGCACTCAGCCGGGCCTCCTCCTGAGTAAACGTGCGCCGGATCAGGGCCCTCAGTAAGAGAAAAGGTTCCCCAAAAGAAGGAACGTTTCGCTTTGGGGCTAAACCGACATTATGGTAAGTATTGTTGTTCCTGTGCTGCTCTCCGATTCAGAGGAGCTTCCAATAAAACAAAATAAAAATATTAAATAAAGCTGCCTCAGTCAAACCAGCGATGCATAGAAGCAGTAAACAAATAATTAAACAAGATTCATTGCTTAGGATAGCAGTATAATGGTAGTCTAAAAGATAGTCTGTTCCTGGATTTGTTGTTATCCTAAGAACAACTCAAAGAAATAAAGAAAAACTACTAAGAGCAGTTTGAAAAGTGAAGTGGACAGAAGCAGGATGGAAAAAGCCGCACAGAAGCAGTGAACAAAATTAAAGTGTTTGAAATTATCTGGACGTTATGAAGATACAAATATATATATATAAATTATGTACTGTATATGTATATAGGTGACTTTTTGCAACATTAGAATTCGTTGGTTAGGATCACGCCAAATGTCATAAACTGTTGTGTGTGAAGTGTATGTCTGTATGCTAGAAGTGTCCTGCACATCTCTTTGGGCATCTCATTTCTGTTAACTGGGGAAAGGATGAGCATGAAAATAGGCATTCATTATGCTCAAGCTACAGCTCTGGAGATATTTACTAGGAAGTACATCCAGAGCAAATGTACAGTCAATTTGGTTTCTCAGTTGTTAAAAACTCTTAAGGAATGCTCAGGCTTTCCTTTAAACTTGGATGATCTCTTTTCTCCACTGCCCCCCAGGCTTTAATACAGCATCTATCTACACATTTCCATGCTTGAAATAAATTTATTCAATAGGTTTTCAGTACATTTTTAAATGTGGCCTTCTTTCCATTTTATTTCTTTGTTACTCTGTTACAGAAGAAATGGAATTGTCTCATCCCTTAAAACTAACACCTAGAATTATAATACTTACTTTATGTTCCCCACCATGCTATTATTTTATCCATCTTTTGTCTGATAGAGATAGTTGTTCCCAGAGTTTCCACAGCTGAATAGCAGTTGCAGCATTATGAATGACAGGGATATTTTCTAACATTGTCACTGGCAACTAAGGAATGTTAAGATTGTCTTTAAAAAACTTTCTTTACAGAAACCTATTCTGTTGCAAGGCCATGAGAGGTCAATTACTCAGATCAAGTATAACCGGGAAGGTGATTTGCTATTTACAGTAGCAAAAGATCCGGTATGTTATCCTTGAGTGGTTACCCTATTGTACATGTTTTTCCATTTAGTCTAATAGAGTATCTCTTCCTGCAGTCCAAACAGTTAAGAGGGAGAAGTGGAAGGGAAGAAAAATGGGCATGTTATACTTCAAAATCAGTTGCATCCTTTATTCCAACAATGGATCTGCATCTTTTGTCTTTAAGAAAACTTGGGCACCCACATTTTAAAATCTTTTTAACCCTAAAGAAAGGTGCACATGATCCATGGTCTATATGACTGTCTTTGAAAGAAATTCAAAAATTTATGTGGCTGAAGAATATAACTGGTTGTAGGGTGAGTGTGTCAGCCGCAGTAAAGATTTTGTTGATTAAAGATCATAATTAAAGATTTTGTTGATAACCAATAAAGTTTCTTACCACTTAATATCTATATATTTCAACGGATATTGATCATCATAGCCTATTAAAATCTAATTAGAGTGGCTTATTCACAATAATCTTCACAAGAACTGTTGCAATAATCAAGAGTTTGTGAAACTGGTTCGTTAATGGAATTTAGTTGTATTAATGATTCTTCTTTACTCATCATTCATTAATATCTTACTTTCTAATTTTACTCAGTGTATTATGTAATCAAATTTAAGTCGATTTACCTAGTCCATAAGCCATTGGGTAATCAGTAAATTGGTCCAACTTAGAGGATTGCAGTTATGTACTAGTTTTAATATTCTGGTTGTATTTTAATAACTTTACCTTATTTTTCTTTTATCAGATTGTTAATGTTTGGTACTCTGTCAACGGTGAGAGACTTGGCACATACAGTGGTCACACTGGTGCAGTCTGGTGTGTGGACGCTGATTGTATCCTTTAGTTTTGGTGTACAAAGTCACATTTTTTCAAGCCTTCCCCAGAATAGCTCATATTTACATGGGAGGTGTTCCTCTTGTCTTGAATTAACAGCAGAAGGGTTGGTCTCTATGCTGTGTGTGTGGGGGTGTATTCACACAGTTTATATTTTGAAACCGTGCATTAGCTCATTTCCATCTCCTGTTGCAAGATACGCTTATGTATATTGTGTGGCTCCTTGACTGCTCTTCCAGGGGACACGAGGCATGTGTTGACCGGTTCAGCAGATAACAGTTGTCGGCTCTGGGACTGTGAAACAGGTAAACTCCAGTGTGGGAAGCAGTAAGAATGCTCTGAGTGTGCAGGATGGAAAATGTCATGTTAGGATGCAGGATGAAGTTTGACTGCTTTCCCCTTGTGTGCTAATACAGAATTTGCAACTGGAAACTCATGTCAACATTAGGGTTCATGTGTGAATATTGTGAACTTCAAACATTTTTGCAAGTTAAAGTGTGGGATGGTTGACTCACCTGAATCAGCAACTGTTGAGCATCCAAGGGGGGGGGGGGAGAGCATGCTGGTCCCACTGGGAGAAAGACAGCCCTCTTTACATATAGTGATTGCAATCCTTGGTTATTCTTGCTGTACTTGCCTTCTTATCTGCTGCTGTTGTTTTTTCCAGGTGTCAGCTAAGAAGGGATTTAACCACTTTAGTGCTGGTTTGCATTTTGTTTTCCCCCCATCATGAAAGTATAGGGAACATTTGTCTCCTCTTCCAGTTAGAGGATAATGAGCTATTGAGATCCAAACCCTCAGGTTTTGGAGGTCTTTCTGAATCCACTCGGGACCAGGATTAAAGGCATGTGGTGTCAGTGTTTAGATTCCAACTTTTCTAATGCCAAGAGACTCCAGTAGCAGGGGTGGACAATCTCATTTTGCCTGGATACGCACAACACATTTTAATCTGGTTATGGAATTAAAACTCATTTTCAGGATTCACAATAATGAACCATAAAGAAACCCAAACAAGCTGGGCTTACACATCGTGCTAAGCCATTCTAAAAAGCCACTCTGAGTTAATATTTTGGAAGTTGTGCATATGCACCTGTTATGTCTGTAGCTGACTAGGATATGTATGTGGTGTGTAGACACTTTGGAGGAGATAATTCTGAGTTTGAGAGAGCAGTGGGTATCTCAAGGTGTACTTATTGTTTGTGTTGCATCCCCTGTTTAGGAAAGCAACTTGCTTTAGTCAAGACCAACTCAGCTGTGAGAACTTGTGGCTTTGACTTTGGAGGGAACATCATCATGTTTTCCACAGATAAGCAAATGGGCTACCAATGTTTTGTGAGCTTCTTCGACCTCCGAGACTCCAGCCAGCTTGGTGAGACCTTCAGGTGTAGGTTAGAATCAAGGTTAGGGTGGGCAATTGCCCTTCCTCAAGGTTGGTGTTACCAAATCTGTTTTGTTTTCTTTATCTTCAGAGGACAATGAACCTTACATGAAGATCCCCTGCAGTGAGTCCAAAATTACCAGTGCGGTTTGGGGTCCCCTTGGGGAATTCATCATTGTCGGGCATGAGAATGGGGAGTTGAACCAGTTCAGTGCAAAGGTTGGTATGGATTGATAAGGGGTACTTGTGTCACAACAAGAAGGTAACCAGCCTCAGCTGGCCAGATCAGGGTTTGTCTTCACTATCATATTTTTTGTCAGTGTGCTTAGAAGCTTCCGATTTATTTACTCTTCTGGCCAGACTCTCACCTGGTAAGTGATTGATTGATTGATTGATGAGATTTAGAGGCTGCCCAGCTCCAGAATGATTTTGGGCAGTTTATACTAAGCAATTGAAAACAATAAAAAAGAAGATCTTAGGTGTCCAGACAAACATTTTCCCTATAACATCAGATAGAAAAAAGTGGGCACCGCAGCCACCCTACCCCAAGGCCTGAGAGGGCAGACACATTTTTAAAGACTTCTGGAACATCATCAGGATGGTAGCCAAATGTCTCTTAGTGGGGATATCATTCCAGAGGGCAGCCACCACAGCAGAGAAAGCAGGCTTTTTGGGTCCCAATAGATGGCATTGTTTGATCAAGGGGACCCGAAGTTCACCAACTCTATCTGATCTTAACAGAGAGGCAGAAACCATAGGAGACAGGCAGCCTCTTGCTCTGTGCCATGAAGGGCGTTAGAGGTGACCCCTTGAATCTAGTGATGACCTGGAAGCTTACTGGCAACCAGTGCAACTTGTGAAGCAATGGTGTCACATGCCACAGCATTCTGGACCAGCTGTACCTTCTGGTAGTTTTTAAGTAGAGCACATTGTGCTTACCCCAACTGTGAGGTGTCTAGGGCTTGAGTGACTGGAGGGCTTCCCAATCCAGGAAGGGGTGCAACTGGTATTCTAGATGGAGCTGGGCAAAGGCCCTCTTGGCCACAGCTGTCACCTGCTTTTTGAGCAGCAGCTGTGAGTCCAGGAAGACCCCTTCAGCTGAGCTGTCCACCAGATCTTCAGTGTTCCATCCATAAGTTGCCTGGGGTGGGGTGATCAAATAGACCCTGTCTCCCTACATGGTGTTGATGGTAGGGTGATGTAGAGAGGTGGGAAATGATCAGAGAGTGATCTGTCTGTGGCAGTGGACTGATGACAATGCCCTCCCATGCCAAATCATATTGCAGCTGCCCCTAGACAAAAGACAGCTCTAGAGTGCAACCACCAGAATGCAACTATTCAAAAGAAGTTGGGTGTCATTGAATTATTTCTGCCCCCCCCCCTTTGCAGATGGTGGTTTCCTTCTTTCTTTTCTCTGTAGTTGCTGCCTTCCACCTCCAGTGCTACTCTTGGGAACACCCAGAATGGCTGCTGGAGAATAGTAACTAAAAGTGTGACTCGATTTGCATTTTATTGTCTTAGGCAAGGTGGCATTCTCACAGCTGGGTCCTCTGTGTTCTTCAAAAAGAGGATGGTAATCCTGTCCGTATTTTTTTAGTCTGCATATCTTAGAGCAGAGTTCCTCAACCTTGGCGACTTGAAGATGTGTGGACTTCAACTCCCAGAATCCCCCAGCCAGCCAT